CAAGACATATGCAACAAAATTTGTAGCTTTTGGATCTGATAAGGTCAGTGAAATCCCTTCAGGATTTATCCTGAGATCCTGTACCTCAGATTGTAGATCCTTTGTCAGCGTCTGCCACGTGGATGAGTCATGGCCATTGCCTAAACCAATGTGCTCTATGTGAAAGTCTGAGAGAATGTTTTCTCTCCATGTGACTCTCCTTAGGCACACTGTACACCATTGATCACTTTTCATTTTTGGCCCCATAATCTCCTTGATCAGAAAAATTGGGGCATAACTGAATTACACCTTGTTACACTACAGGTTCTCACATGTCCTGTGTCTTAATTGACCTTAGAAGACTAGGGCCAAAATGTTGGCTTTATTTGCAGCCCTCCTTTTTCTCTAATTTTGGTCTGCAAACTTAGGTTGTTAACCATCCAGAACACAAGCTTATTGTTATTGCCATACAACCTAGGCTGTTGAGCTTAACTTCACTATCTGTCTGAATATCAAACATCTTATGCATAATATGGAACAGGTATTTATCATCAAGTATTGATATGTTAAACTTTAAGCCCCTACAGAATATGACAAAAAATTAAGAATTAAAATACATTTATAAAATAGAAATAAAGAACTATATATGTTTACACATAAGTCCAGAAATCTAACAATATACAACATTGTAGCAAGACAGTCCCAAAGCCCTCCTTTTCCCATCTCCTACCTTCATTCACCACCCCTTCCTTTTCAAACAATCATCTAACCAAGAGACAGTACAGTATCACTTATATATGAAATGTTTTATTTAAAATCACTTCTTGTTGTGATATCCAAAAATACAATATACATTTTTCTTCTGGATTGATGGATGATTTCTTATCATTTAAGAAGTGGACAATCTTTTGTCCTCAGTTCTACAAATAGGCACTAGAGTCCATGTCCATATGAAGAATTTTATATTTAATTATGGAAAGAGAGCATCACTAAACAGAAATTGTGAACCAAAATTAAAAAAAAAAAAACAAAATAAAAACATCATATTATTTGGGAACATAAAAGCTTATAAACTTTGAACAGGTGGGAACACACACACACACACACACACACACACACCTGGGAAACGGTGTCTTACAAAATTGCGTTGGTAAAAATTTCCAAATCCTGCGAGAGTATAAGCATCTGCATGTGCTCAAGCCCTCTGTGATCTGTGAAACCTCTTTAAAATCCACTTGGTAAACAAGGAGACAACCTTGCAGAGCCATGCTGAATGCAGCACATGAGCATCAGGGGAGCATCCCCCACCCTGACCACGAGGTAGTCTCCTTCTCTTGCTTTTAGATAGAGTATGACTCACTAGACGTGAGTGTGGCTATTTGACCAAATCCTAAAGTGACTTGCTATAGAGAATGAGACATCCTCGCCTTCACAATGTTCATGGATCTGCACCGTGGTGAGGTTTGCAGTTTTTCTTCCTGCAAAGGTGTAGATATATCTGTCAGGCTACTGTGTTTAATGCTATGCATAGGTCTTTCTCTGAACCATGTGCACTTCAGCTGGCACCATATTTCTCATCTTCAGACTCTTTATTTTTAATGAGAATTTTATTACTAAGACCAATAAATATGCAAGTATAGAAATAATTCATTCAGGAAAGAGCACGTGATCTGTAATAAGTGTCCAGTAGGCAGCAATCCATCCAGATGTTAGTCTTTCTCCTTTCCTTCCTTCTTTTTCTGCCCATATTCTTCCCTTTCTCTTTACATACCCTTTATAGTCTTGCCTTTCTCTTCCTTTGTATTTTAAAGAATACAAAGTATGGATAAAAATCAGCATTAGAATGATACAAGATTTGATTTCACTAAACAAATAGGAATTCAACAATGATGCTACATTACATTATGCTTTCTTTCTTCTGCTCCTTTTCTTTCTTGTCTTTTTTCTTCTTTCTTCCTTTCCACTTTTCTTTCCTTCAACTATAAAAAATTTAAAACTACTTCCAGTATTTTTGTTCAGGTTAAAATGAAATATCTTAGAAATGTCATGAGTACATATGCTACCATTAGCACTCAAAAAGTATTTCATTTGTTGTTTCTAAATATATCTCTTTATCCTGGAATGATCTCCCCACCCTAATGTGTAGGTTAAACATTAGAATGTCTAGGCTGGGGAGATGGCTCAGTAGAATAAGTGCTTGCCTGGCAAGCACAAAGGCCTGAGTTAAATCCCTGGTTCCGGAAAAAAAAAAGTCTAGAAGCTGTATAAACAAAACTAATAAGTCAAGTTTAGCTTAAGTGCAGAAATTCACATTTATTTATAGTTATTGATAGAATATAAAAGATAATTTTGCCACCATCACACACCCGCAAATAGCAGAGGGGGAGCACTACTGGTTAGAAAGAGTGACTCAAGCTCACTGTGCCATCCTCAGATGTAACTTGGTCCCTTTCAGTGTCCCTAAGTTCATTTGATGGCATGAAGTGAATGAAGTTGCTGCCTGTGATTTGACAGGAGAATATAAATGGCTGAAATTGCGCTGGTTGATGTGGCTGGGTCTGTCCCTGAGCAGGAGCTAAATCACAAGACAATAGGAAAAAGGGAAGTTCAGATCTTCTTCAAGAATGACCTTACAGAAAGACAAAAAAGTCATTTCTCATCTCTTCATTTAAAAAAAAAATAAGTATTTATGACTAGCGTTATTATAATTATAAAAACATGTTGATCATTGTAATATTTTTGCTAATATATTTTCCAAATCATTATAAAATGAATTAATGTTATTGCAATTTTACAAGTTTTTGAATATATGACTTAAAGAAAATATTTTCTTCTATGTATTACTAAACTTTCAGTCATTTTATGATGTTGATGCTGCTTAAAATAATGCTGGCATTTGTATTCACATCTTCCTTTTACCCTTCACAGAGGGTGCTCATAACCATGCTCCATTTCTCTCATGCATGAGACAGCTCATGTTCAATGCTTTTTCCAGTGACATGGCTATTAGAATCCTGCTGCTGCAATGGCTAGCTTTTTACACAGCTGAAAATTTAAAATATCTTCTTTCAACTCAATGTATTTTTGGAGTAATTTTATATTTACAGAAACAGGACATTAGAAAGAAATCCAGATTTTGCTCACTTAGTTGTCTTTAATAGTGACACCTTATAATACCATGAGCTCATTCGGCAAATTTACATAATGAACACAGATAGAATGCTTTTCAGTGTGCATTGCATTTTATTTATATTTACTGAATTTTTTCCACTATTGTCTTTTTGCCCTGTTAGGATTCAATGCTGTGCAGCAGAGTGACTATAGGATAATTACTTTTGAAATGACTTAAAGTCATAAACATTATGATAATAAATTATAAATACAATGCTTTCCACTGGTTAATATTTTAGTACTGATTTTGAAAATTTTTAATGTGAAAAAAGAAAGGGTGAGCTTGTTTTTATCTACTTAGTATTTGAATTGAAAAATTTTCTTTCTTGGGCTGTCGGAAAAGCTTAGGGGTCTAGAGCCCCAGCTTAGATAAGCTTAGGCAAATTAAAGGGATGGTGATTCCATCCCCACACCAAATGCCATACCAGCCCTGCCCCCAGGGCTGCCTGAGCCAGTCAAAAAAAATACTACTGTTTCATTTTTTATATGTCAGAAAAGGATAGGTGAGAGAAAACAATTGTTTATTTATTAGACTGATTATATGACTTATTTTTTGTGTGACTGGCTATTGGACAACAGAGTGGCTTGACCTCAGGTTCATGGTCTTATATTCAACATTTCTCATTCATTCAAAAGGCTGTACATTGAAAAACATCATTTATGCACTAAAATGGATGAAACTATGTCTAAAAATAGGAGCATGTTTCATGCGTGGTACCAGCAAGGCAAGAGTTAGATGTCAAATGTTATCATTTCTGCTGTGTCTCTTACATGGCATCTTGTTTTCACCATTCACCAGCACCCTTCCCTGTGCTTCTGACTGAGAGAATGGGTTCTCTCTGTGTTGTGATCTGATCCTCACAAGAAACCTTTGGAGAGCCCTTCTTTTTACACCCATTTGTACAACAAAATCAGAGCATTTCAGAGTCTCCACAGCCGTAGGTAACCATTCCATGCTGTGCAATAATTACCAGAGCTCAGATCTGAGGCCAGAGTTCTTCCTGATTACCCTTGGTGTATTTCCTGTCTTGACTATTTCCTAAGATGGCCACTACTGCAATATACATGCGTGTTTCTTACAATAATTAGTTCTTGTCATATTTTGGGTCTTACAGTTTGTGTACTATTCTTGGGAACTTTCTACTGGTTTCGCTAACTCCTGTTCACTTCTTAAAATAATGAACAAAAAGTAGCATACCGATAATGTGTGCATATTCTGCATCAAGCCAGAGCCAGGCTCTAAGCAGTCCTTTCTTTTGTGTAAAAAATTAGTTAATACATGTAAAACCTAAGCACTTTTAATGGCTTTGAAGAAATTTGAGAAAAGAATCCATAGTTTCCTTGTAATTACTAAACTTTCTCTTAATTTATCTTCTGTTGATAGATGAGACAGTACACCTAGCAAGAATGGCAGAAGAGTGGTCCCTGCCCTATTCTAAGGCGACAGTAGTCATGTTTAGTAATAACACTCTTTCCTTCCTCATAATGTGAATATAGCGTCAGGATGTCATTCATTAATCAACTTTGGAGGACACTAGACAAAGATCAGAGGTCACAGCTGAAGTGAAACAAACAACTTGACTTTCAGCACACATGCACTCTTGTTTTCCACCTAAATTGAAAAAGTGGTCATTCTACATATTCATCAATCCTCCCAAATCCTGCCTCATTCGTAGCTATTATCTTCAACAGATTTCTGATATTATGTTTTCAACCCACTCAGCCAAGGTTTCCATAATACTGAATCAACTTATTGATGTCTGTGCAATTGTAAACTCATTTGAACTAATTTTTGTCATACTTTCTGATTTACATGATCACTGATTTATATTTTCACCTTTCCTTTGGAAACCATGCAAAATCACAGCTTCGTGACTGAATTTCTCCTCCAGGGATTTTCACAGAATCCACATATTCAGAAAATGGTATTTGTTGTATTTTTGTTTGTTTACATTGGAACCATCTGGTGCAACATGCTAATAGTGGTGACCATTATTTTCAGCCCTGCTCTACTCGACTCCCCCATGTACTTCTTCTTGGCATACTTGTCCTTCTTGGATGCTTCCTTTTCTTCTGTCATCACACCAAAGATGATTGTTGACTCCCTCTGTGAAAGGAAAACCATCTCTTTTCAGGGTTGCATGGTGCAGATCTTTGGTGTACACTTCTTTTCTGGCGCAGAGGTGATTGTCCTCACAGCCATGGCCTATGACCGCTATGTGGCCATCTGCAAGCCCTTGCACTACACTTCCATCATGAACAGGACACTCTGTCATGTTCTGGTTGGTGTAGCCTGGATGGGAGGCTTTCTGCATTCCATCATTCAAATTCTCTTCACTTTTCGCCTTCCCTTTTGTGGCCCCAATGTCATTGAACATTTCATGTGTGACCTGTACCCGTTACTGAAGCTTGCATGCACTGACACACACATCTTTGGCATTTTGGTGATTGCCAACAGCGGGTCCTTCTGCATTATAATAGTCTCCTTGTTGCTTGTGTCCTACGGTGTCATCTTATTCTCTCTGAGGAAGCAAAGCTCTGAAGGGCGTAGAAAGGCTCTGTCCACCTGTGGGTCCCACATTGCTGTTGTGGTTTTATTCTTCATACCTTGCATGTTTATATATGCAAGACCTCCAACTTCCTTCTCCGTTGACAAAATGGTTTCCATATTTTACACCATGCTAACTCCATTGCTCAACCCTTTGATTTATACTTTTAGGAATAAGGACATGAAAAATGCTATCAAAAAACTTCAGAAGAGATTGGTGGCAATTTCCCATGTACAATGAAAATGAATCTATTCTCAAATAATAAATTCATGTGTAAATCATTCCAAAGAATTTTAGGTGAAAATTGTGGTGTTTCCTCTGCATAAATTGTGTTACTGTATGTCTATAGAAATAGATATCCTGTAGTTTTAAGAACATATTTTTACTTTTCTATTAGGTATTACTTCTGAGCTGGTAAGTGGGTATGCTTATGTTTAAGTTAAAGAGAGTTGGATTTTATATTTAATTAGAAACATACAATCCATAAATAATCTGCAAAGTAAATTACTTCAGAGATTACCTACTGTTAGGTTTTGTTTCTATATGTCCCCCAATGCCTCACAGATGCATGGGATGACTTTCAGAAGTTGTGATTAATTCATGATCCAATGTTAGGATTATGGGCCTACAATGCATAATGCACACATTCAGAGAACTAATCTTTCATTTCTTTCCATGCATGCAAATCTTAGTTTTATTTTATTTTATTTTATTTTATTTTAACTCATTTTATCTTGATGTTTTGAAATCACATCTTCCTATGATTCCCAGGCAAGCCCTAAACTCACTATGTAGCCCACACTGACCTTAAACTCATGGCAATCCTTCATTCTCAGCCTCACAAGGACTGAGTTTACCGACATTCATTACCATACTCAGATAAAATTTTATCTTTAAACCAGCCATAATACCCATATCTTCTTTTTTTTGCCAGCTCTACCTGTCCTGAGTTTTGAGTTGTCATGGCATGTGGGCCTGGGAATAGAACTGTGGTACTTTCACCTGCTTAAGCTTGCCTAAGCGGGCACTTTAGACTCCTGAGCTATTTCTCTGGTCAATACCCAAATCTTCTACTTGATGTATTAGAAAGCTTTTATAATATTGTGAGATGTTAAAAAATGCTTTATGGATGAGACATAATTATGAAAGCAACCATGGACATAGATATAGCTAGGTATAGATATAGCTATAGATATAGCTATAGTTGGACACATAGATATAGATGTAAATACATATAAATAAAAATATTTTTATATCATAATCAATCCAAAACGTGAAGTGAGATTTCCTACTGAGAAATGCTGAAAAATCATATGAAGGGAGAAACACTTTGATTTAATTACCAGGCTCAGACCTAGAGGAAGACAAATGTTTCTCTACATCTTGTCTGTCTGCCATGAGCATTTTGTGTTGGGAAGCACACTCCAGGCTTTGGCTGTTTGTTCCCATAGTCGTGGTGCTTCTTGTTTAAGTACTCCTGCACACTCAATCATAAAAATTTCAAATGCTTCCCTTCTCAAAGAGAAGAACACTCACTCATAAACAGAATAAGGACTGTGGTGTACTCAAGTGTAGGATTTGTACTGTTCACCAAATATACAGAGGCATTGGGTTCAGCTGACAAGAGTCAGCCATGACAGGTGGGTAGTGAAAGTTCACTTTTGAAAGCCAAGATGAAAACCCATTCAAGCCTAGGAGCAGGGCTGCCTGGGAGACAGGTTAGAAAGAATCCATGTCAGGGCAGACAAAGAACAGCAGGCACAAGCATCCATTTCCCTTTCTATCCTAATAAGGTGAAAATCTTGTGTGTTGGTGCCTCTCACACCTGTATTGGGTCTTTGATTTTCTGTAAACCCATTGAGTCACACAGAACTATGCTGATCCAGTCCACAGATTGACACAGTTGTGGCACAGAATGATCCTGAATATCTTACCTTTGACAGGCAGCCCCAAACCCCTAACATGAGTGCAAGAGGCTTTGGTAGACATGATTGATATAAACCATAATGGTGTTCAAGTCAAGTCAACCAGGATCTGTAAATATAATTTTATTTGGAGTAAAGTCTTTGTTGAAGATCAATTTAAAATGAGTCTATTGGGTTTAACCTCTAATCTGAGATAACATTCCCTTATGAAAATGAGATATTTGGGTGTGAGACAGATGGACACATGGTAAACGTGGCGTGTAAAGTAAATACAGAGAAATTTGCCTGATGCATTCAAAAGTCAAAGAAACCCAAAGATCACCGGAAAAATATCAGGAGAGAGGCATGAAATAGATTCTCTCTCTGTTTCAAAACAGAGCCATACAACAAACTCACATAATAAAGACCAAAACCACAAAGCAGTACTATCCAAAAATAAGTTCAACATGAAGCCAAATCTAGTTCTTTGAAAGAGATAAGGAAGATTAATGCATATGTACCATTGTGATATTGGTTATATGGGTATACACGCTTTTCAAAACTCACCTCTACACTTTATAATGTTACATTTTGGGCTGGAGAGATAGCTCAGTAGTCTAAGCTCCTGCTTGCCAAGCACAAGCACCTGAGTTCCATCTCTAGTATCACGTGCCGTGCTTGCCCAGGAACCCTGGTTGTGCTGCGCCAGCCATGAAACCGGGCACATTGGTGAACACTTGTAGACCCAGTACAGGGGAGGCTGAGACAGGAAGATCACTATGCATCTCAGCTGCATAGCGAGACCCTTTATCAACAACCAATAAAATACAATAGAGTAAAATAAAATAAAATACAGTGTTTCATTTAGTTGTGTCGAAATTATGATTTAAGAAGTATATTTAAAAAGTGGTAAAATATTTTATTTCCTTTCCTTTTCTTTTCTAATATCCACTGACTTACTAATTTAAAAATGTTTCAGAAATAACTCAAAATTTAATTAATAATTTTTATTGTAGTTATAATGCACTTACATTTTACCACTATTGTTAAGATCAATACATATTAATGGTGAATTAAACATGTTTAAGGGTAATATATTCAAAAATGGGAAACTGGAGATATTATGGTGGGTGCCCAATACACAGAAAGCAAAATGGTGGAACAAAACATTATGTCACATTTATTTGAATTGTTACCTGTCTTCATAATTTTGTCTAACATTTAACCATGGAATAGAACACTGGGTCACAATAACCCATCCCATACTTTCTACCGTACATTTGTGCTGTGTTATAAATACACAACCCGGTCTCAGCAGCTGTTCCTGGAGAGTGCAGGTAGCAATCTTATGTTCATGCACGTGGAATGTCAAGCTGTAAGGTGTAGAAAGGCAAAAAAAAATGCATGCTTGTGTGCAAAAGTACCAAAGTGTGATTTTTTTACCCACATAACGCTCTAGGTAACAATTTTTGTGCATGTTTCCCTGAGGATTACAGGGAGTAAAATGGACCTACACCACAGTTCTTTTCTGGAAAGACATTTTACTATGAATAGAAGGTGGTGTGACTACAGTAGCTCTGCCTGGGGAAAGCAAGAACTCCTGTCTGTGCTCATCACCTTGCAGGCAGATTGCACTCTGTGTGTAGAAGTTCCAAAATGTTCACCGGTGAGTTTTTCTCATGAAATCTTCTTTACTAAATTTCTTGGGATGTGGGATTTTTTCAAAACAATTCTTTTGATTTTTTTCTGGTGGAAGTAGCCCAGTCCATTATAGTGGCACATAATGCACCATATTTGCAACGTTCGGAAGAGGTCAAGAGTGAATCATCTGATCATTCATGTCATGTGTAGATGATGAACATAATAGCGACTTTGAATTTGGCCATGTGAGTCAAAGTTTCTATGACAATAAAATGGGGCAAGAATCCACAATGTGATGAGCTGTAAAGGGCTCAAGTCAGCAACTTCTGACATTGCCAGTCCAATGAATAACCGACTACCATTATGGATTACTGGACT